AATGAATACATTTCACTAGAACTTACAAATCACAGACTCAGATCACAATAGATCACTTACAAATTAACCATCTTAGCCTCTTCTTTCGGCGCAGAGAGTCCAATCGCTTAATCGCGCTCGCTTGAGCTTGCCAATATAAAATTGTCCACCCAAGGCGTCCAGACATTTATACGCAGTCGTATTAATACAAATTTCTTACCGTTCTATAAAAACGAAAAAGTTATTTGTGTGGCTACTACATTTTATTTCAAACTAAATCTATAATAATCTGTCAGTGATTGATTCGATAGTCGTAAAACGGAAAAAGCGTCTAGGAATCCGACTTAACTATCGATTCCAAAGCTGCGAAAAGAGCATTCCCGATTGATCGGCAGACATCGGGTTGTTTCGTTACATTGGCAAACCACGGCGGAAAGTAACGCCTGGGTATAGGCAGTTTCGCAAGAGCACCTGTGGCTCCGTGACAGAGACCATTGCTTCGTGAGCGAATGATCCGTGGTTCAAATCTTACGCCGGACCAAAACTTTTTTATTTTTTTTTTGCTTATAGCGTGATTTGATTGCATTGGTTTCAGTCTTTTTGGTTGGATTGGTTTAGTTATTTGGCGGGTTGGTTAGCGTGGTGGTTGGAGGGTATTAATTCATTGGTTAGTTGGTTGTTTGGTGGGGTTGGTTGGTTGCGAGAAGACGGAAGCACTTATTTCTATAATACAGACGGTAAGTTCCTATTATTATCTATATTCCCATGCCCAATTGTTTGTTAAAATCAATATGGTATACAAAAACCTGCAAATTTTTTACCGTTTTCGCTTTTTTAGGCACTATAGATACCTTAGAACATGATGGGAATCTGGTAGGCTCTGAGAAACAAGATTCTTTATTTCATCAAGACGAAAGCACCTATTTCTGTACTAAAGCAGAAAATTCCGGTAATTTTCTATCAATTCTTAATCCCATGCACATTTCATTGTTTAATTAACTTAACACAAAAATAAATGTGTACATTGTATACATTTTGGCACAATTTTTACACGCTTTATTTGTTAGGTACTACGGATATGACCTTAGTACACGAAGGGAACTCGATGGAATTAACACAAGAAGCTTATGCCGCGTCGAATAAAGAATTAGAAAATGACCCAGGAAATGATTATGAGCCTAGTAATGAAGAAATAGCGTCAGAAAGTTCAAAAAATGAGCATGAAAATATAGCCGAAGAAACCGTTGCTAGTGCCGAACTAAATAAAGTAGACAGAGATTTGAATGAAGAAACGAAAAGACGAATCAAGGCAAATGAAATGGAGTTGTCAAGAAATAAGAATAAAAGGCTACGTATGCAAGGAGAACGATATCTTAGTATAAAAAAGGATGAAACTGGAAAAAGGTAACAGAATATAGTTAAAACAGGGCGAAAATTGAAACTACGTTGTTCATCAAAGGCTTGTGAAAAAGCAGTGAATCGCCATTGTTCTGAGTTTACAGAACATAGAAGAAAAAACATCTTTGATAAATTTTGGAAAACTATGAATTGGGATCAAAGGCGGGTATTCGTGGCTTCGAATATAGAAAATAATGTCACAAAACGTAAGACAACAGATGGACCATCCAGAAGACAAGGTAGTTACAAGTATGCATTGAATAATCTACAAGTTTACCGACAAATGTTTCTGAATACATTATGTCTTGGTTACAAAACCGTTCATGCATGGGTCGATCAGAGTTTCTGTGGTATGCATGCAGAAAAGAAAAACAGAGTCGACGTAAAACAAAGAGTTAAGGAACAACATAAATAGCAATATGAGATCCTAGAATAATTTTTTGAACAACTGCCAAAACTACCGGCACACTATTGTAGAAGAGATTCTTTAAAAATTTTCCTTAGAACCCCATTTTCAGTCTATAAGTGACGTTTACAAACTGTATTTGACTTATACTCAAGAAACAGGGGTAGCAAGTAGGTAGAAACAGGTACATTTAGCTAGGAAATCCTTTAGTAAAATTTTCCACACTAAAAACATATCAGTCTATACCCCTAAAAAGGATCAATGTAACACATATGTCTCTTTTAATTTCTTTTTTTATTAAACCACATGGATACTTTCTGCTTAGATTTCCTAAGAATATTGATATTAGTACAGAGTGGCTAACTGTATTTTTTATATAATTTAATTTTTGTGACAGAAAACATTCTATTTATTGTTCAAATATATACCGTATGATCGAATAAAAACGGCATCCAGTTGGCTTGGAAATGACGATCGATGACATTTCCCATATAATTTTACATATAAAATGACAGCGATATTCATTTCATAGCCATCGCTGACGCCGTTTTTATTCGATCATACGGTACATTTTACAAATTAAACTTTTAAAACTAATGTTCGAATTTGGCGCCTGGACGCTAGGTCCTCGACAAGGATAGATAGAGTAGAAGCACCGCGTGTGCAACAAAAAAAAATATAAATGGAAGTTGTTGATATGTTTGCGACAGTTTCCATAGTGATTTACTTATCCACGTAAGTATATTATATGATGATCTAGGGTCTAAACCTTCGCGGTGAAAAGATATAGAGCTTATCGTGAAAACCGTATTAGAGAGATATTGGTAAACCGAATAGCGTGCATGGACGTTAATAACGTCAGGTGTTATTTCCTTTACGTGAGGCGGTATTCACCCTCTTCATTTATAGTTATCGGATCGGAAAGAATTCTGTGTACTTTGAAATTGTTTTGTTTACTCGGTATTTTAAAACTAAAGGGCTAAAGTGCTTATTTCCAGTGCTTTATTGTTCAACGTCTGCCAGTGGGTTTAGGGCAACAAATTCTCTTAGAAGGGCTAAGTCGTCCTCTGCTGGAAACCTAAGCCTCTTTATAGATTCTTTAATATTGGAAGAGGTGGAATCCATATTTTGGGCCATATTTATTTAATTAAAACTAATTACAGCTACTTAAATATCAAATTACCTAGTAAAACTAAAGTAATAATTGAAAACAATTCAAACATAACCTAAAATAAAAGATCTCGCCAGCCGGCCCCGGTTGTCAAATATCCGCGACAGTTTCCATAGTGATTTACTATGGAAACAACTTTACAGTTAAGCAGTTAATACAGTTAAGTAATTTTTAAACGTTATTTAAAAATAGCGCTTGGTGTAATTGATCCGCAAATTACGTCAGGCGGTAACGTTATTAGCTGGCGTTGCGTTAAAAATCGACTCGCGCATATCGTAGCTGTCAAAATAAGGTACGCGTAAATACTGCATGACGCTATTCGGTTTACCGATATCTCTTTATTATTTCGACTTGTGTCACTTACGAGCCGAGCGCGCAGGGTCGATTTCGGCAAGTGAATACGTGTTCGCGAGCAAAATTTCATCGAACCGAGCGCGTCAAACATTTTCGCCGGCTTGTCGGTACATGCATTTTGCTCAAAGGGTGTAGCGTTTTTTTTTATAAACATTACCACTGCGAACGGCAGCTTTTCATCGGAGAGCAGTCGTGGATAAGGTATTTCAGTGGAAAGAACTAATTAATAACAATAAACAAAAAAATACAGATATTGGGCGCCAGGCATGTACAGAGAAAGAAAACACAGTTGTATATTACTTAAACCTAAAATCTAAATCATATTGTAACTACTAAATCGACATAAATGTTCTTAATAATCTAACCACTAAATATAGTCTGTACGATATCGTTTAAAATGTACGTTAAGTTAAGACTGAAAATCGACTGAAAACCAGAACCTAAATCTACACTTAGCTGTTCTTGAGGCAATCCTGTTTCGAAGAGTAGCAGCGTGAGGTGGGCTCATATCTCTGCACTGTCTGTCGGCGATCCTGTTGGCCAAAACAACAAAAGGGGCCAGAATAAGGACACCATGAATCACTACAGCCGTAGCTACTGACTTAGAAATGGGAGCGAAGCAGCATGGGGCTTACGCTGTATCCATCTGTGGCAATATGGGGACACTACCCGTACCTTGGAACACTACTAGGACCTTGGATAATGTCTGTAACTTGGACTATAACCTTAGACACAGTCCGTCCATAAGATAATGGTACAAGGGAACACTACCCGTACCTTGGATACTACTAGGACCTTGGATAATGCCCGTACCTTGTAAATAGTCCGTACCTTGGACCCTAAAAATATGAAACTCTTGTTTAAAACCAAACAAGGTCTAATAAACAAAATAAACCTACCTCGAATTACTTCCGAGGGCTCAATAAAAAACAAAGAAACTGTCCTTTCTTCCACGTAACATTCTGGAGGACAAAAGAAAAGGGACGCTAACGTGCCAGCAAAATACAAATACAAGTTAAATTGGGACATCCAAAACTCTACCCTAAAAATATGCAGTAATAATATCGAATCTAAAAGGATAATATTTCATCTTTACCTGTTGCTTTGAAATAGCAGCTGATTCAGATTATACAGCAAGATTTAAATAATCACGATTTCTAAAAGCCGGGATGGTTAGGTTAGGCTACAGAGCGCTAAAAGCAAAAGTCAGTCGACAGCACAGAGAGTTGACAGAAGCGATGTTGACAGTGCCTCCACAGAGCGATAACAGGGTTGTGCCAAACGATAACAGGGTTGTGGACTAGAGAACGTAAAAATTCGTCAAATAAATTATCCGGCCGGAACGATAGGGAATCCGGTGATGATACGCCGACATCATATATCATAATCAAAGACATGTAATGAACTAAAAGTTACAAGCGGATGCACTGTTCAGTTATTAAAATTTTGGCATGTGTCAAATTTTTAAACATTTTCAGAGACTGAACCATTACATTTTCGGGTACACTAATGATGCTAATTTATTCTAACTGGTAAGCATGGTAAGGTAAGCAAAACCTCAACAGCTTCAGAGAATTAGGGAAAGTCATACCAAGTATTTCCCCAATGGCCCTCCAAATAAAGATAAAAAATTTTGATGCAGTATAGGTGTTACGTTAGGTTGTAGGTCTCTTGGCCAGTAGGCAGGACACAATGGACATGTTACTTGAGCACGGTGTTATTGCTAGATACACAGAATGTCCAACGTGCCACAGACAAGTGGAAATCAACAGAGAAACACTACAATTTACGTGCCAGCGACGTTACCAAGTGGACAGACGTGTGAGAAAGTGCAGATCTCGACAGAGTGGCAAAAGAGGCACTTGGTTTGCGTTGTCGAAGCTGAAATTGGAAGACATTCTGTACATGACAGTGCTAACATGTGTGTACATGATGTGGCTAAAGATGTCATTTCCGCGACAAAGCTTCATAATGAGGGAACTTTCTTGTTCAGCACACACCATCGTAGACTGGTCCTCATTTTGTCGCGAGATATGCATCAATTGGTGCACCAGAACGTCTGTTCCGCTTGGTGGGATTGGAAGAATTGTAGAGATTGATGAGACGAAATTCGGGAAAAGGAAATACAATAGGGGCCGGATCATCGAAGGACAATGGGTCTTCGGGGGTTTTGAACGTGAAACCAAGAAGGTCTTTTTAGTTCCAGTGGAAAATCGTACAGTTGCGACCCTCCTTGCAGTTATCAGGCAATGGATTTTGCCTGGAACAACCATTGTTTCTGACTATTGGAAGTCATACGACACATTGGAACATGAAGGGTTTAAACACCACAAAGTAAATCATTCCCTGAACTTTGTGGACCCCCAAGATCCGCTGATGGTGACTCACGGTGTCTGAAAGCCATGAGATCAATGGACAGGGGAAAGTAAAAATAAAAATGTGTATCTGATTTGGCACAAAATATGTAAAGACTCTGGAATCACACGCAAACAACAAACATTACCACAACTTACTGCAAATCCTAATGTCATAATTGAGTTCGAAAACGGATTAGTTATGGAAAGCCAATGGGGAGGAAGTTATCGTAGAAAACCAAGTAGCAATAGAAGATCATGAAATCATTCAAGAGATGGCGAGTGAGTGCGAAGTAGTTGTAGAAAAGGATAACGTTGAAATGGCGCATCGTGAAACTATCCAGGAGATGACAACAAATCATGAAATCATTCCAGAAATGGAAAGTGGATGGGAGAAAGTTGTTACCATAGAAAAGGATAACATGCAAATGGAGCATTACAATGAAATTATCCAGGACATTGATAATGTAGAAAATAAAGTAATGGAGACTAAAGGGACCAAGGACTTAAATTTGACCAATAATAAATCGGTAGTTTTAGAAACAAATTTTATAGATGATTCTAAAATTAAAGGAAATGAAGTTCAAAGTGAAACAACACCAAGTTTGCCAGAAAGCCAGCTTTTTACTTTTAGCACTAGTGCTAAAAGTAGATTAAGTAAATCACGTGATTTACTTTAACACTGAAGCGATAATATTACCATAGCAACCATAAACTTCATAATTAATTTGATTTCAGAATGACATATCGAGGGCTGAAAGGCAGGACCTCGTAACCCTCAAAATTATCGAAATTGAGATTTTCCTAAATTTCAATTAAGAATTACTATTGCCATCTATTGGGTAAATTCCCAAGTAAACAAAAAATCCGTTAAGGCGAAATCTGTATAAAACATTACCTCGTAAGTGTTTTCTGTCAGACTGGCAGCGCATTACCTCGTAACGATTCAGTCCGCCATTAGCCGTTATGATAATGAAAGGTGAGTGCCGAATACATCTTTAAATTTAATGAAATACTATTTTAATTTTACGTGTGTGTTTGTATTCTTGTGCTTTTATGATCAGATGATTTGTTTCTATACGATTATGATAATTTTAGTAGGTATTTCACTTAAAAACATTAATATTTATTAAAGGTAACAGTTACGAGGTTCTGCCGATTCGCATATTTTGAAGCTTTGAGGTTACGAGGATTTTCTTTTGGAGTTTTCCCAATTCAGAGGTAATTATTGTGCTTAATATCAATAAATTTCCATTTTTTAGTGCATTAGTTACCTCATTTTAATAATGCTTACATAAATCTTGCTTTCAGACGAATTTTATGGGATCACCATTAAAAAAATGTCGACGCGAACGAAAAAAATTCTGGCCTTAGCTGTTCAAAACCAAAGAGAGAATCAAGAAAACATTCCAGCTATAGCAAATTCAAGCCATAGGAATGAAGATTGTAATAAAGTTCTGAGCTCCGAAGATGTAGCGGAAATGATCCAGGAGGCAGTAGTCGTTTTTGAAGATGGCTTTTGCAGCGAATTAACTCCAGATATTTTTAAAACGGGAGATTCAGCGTCAAAAGATGAGCAAGAAAACCCATTGAGTTGTGGAAACAACTTGGTTAAAAAACAGATTAGAATATTATCCGATATTAATCTCCAAAAATATTCCGATCCAGTAATATCGGCCAAAGAGGACATAATGCAGATTGTTGTGGACTGTCAAGAACAAATCGTAGTGAAGTCGCCTGATCAAACGTCGCCAACAGAATCTCAGCAACAAACAGAATTACCTCCAAATATTTTTCAAATGGAAACTTCGGTGAGAAAGGAAAAACAGGAAGAACTACAGAGTCATGAAGTAAACTTGACAGAAGAAGAGACAGTAATGGAAACAGACATCTCAAGTTCAGATGATGAGACTCCCCTGATAAAACGAAAAAAAGGACAGAAAAAGAGAGATCTTAACAAAAAACTAAGAATGAGTGGAGGAAAATACATCGAATTTCGGAAACCAAAAGGTCAAAAAAATACATTTCACGACACTCCTCGGAATGAAAGACGTCTAAAAGATCGATGTAATTGTAAAGATCCTTCAAAACAGTGCCTGAAATTTACGGATGACGATAGAAACAGAATTTTTCCGAAATTCTGGTCCGACATGTCATGGGAGCAACGTAAAGTTTTTGTAGCGACCACAGTTCAAGTTTGTCCCCGGAAAAGACCCGAAGCAGATAATTCAAGACGATCAGTGACATTGAAATATCATTTGATTTTAAATGATGCTCACATTCCAGTTTGTAAGTTGATGTATCTCAACACACTAAACTTAGGAGAGTGGTCTGCAAGATCTTGGGCTTTATCAGCAAATAATGGGATGATAAAAAGTAATGAAGTCGATGTTTCTTTGAGGTCGAAACGAAAAGATATTTTTAAAGAAGATAGAGAATTCCTAGAGGCATTTCTGGGCAAATTAAATAAACTTCCATCCCATTATTGTAGAAAAGACACACAGCAACTGTATCTGGAGCAAACTTTTCAGTCCTGGAATGATCTGTTTAAGGTTTACCAAAAACAGTGCGCAGATAACAATCGTAATGTTCTTTCCTCTAAGCTTCTAAGGCAGATGGCAAAAAAAATGAAGATTGCTATTTTTTCGCCTCGAAAAGATCAGTGCGATGTTTGCTTTATGTTTAAGAACGGAAATGTACCTGAAGAAGATTACCAGAAGCACATCGAAGCAAAAAATACAGCTAGAGCTGAGAAAGAAAGAGATAAAGCAGATGCTCTAGAGAAAAGATGTCATGTTATTACAATGATGTCCAGGCTGTTAAACTGTCACCGCAGATTCCGGCAAGTACACTTTATTATAAAACTAAATTGTGCTGCCATAATTTTACATTTTATGATCTTGCCACTAAAGAAGTAGTATGCTATTGGTATAATGAGACCCAGGCAGATGGGCAGGCCTCAACCTACGCTTCATTTTTAGTTGATTTTCTTGAACACCAGTTTCTTAATAGGGGTGAAAAAAAACCTATTATAATTTATTCAGATGGGTGTACAGCACAAAACAGGAACGCGATTCTATCTAATGCTCTATTGTACTTATCTGAAAAACATAACATCAAAATAACTCAAAAATTTCTGGAAAAGGGTCACACACAGATGGAGTGCGACTCAGTACATAGCACAATAGAAAGGCGATTAAAAAATAAGGAAATATATCTTCCCAGTGACTATTTACGAATAACTAGCGAAGCCAGACAGTCACCACCATACAAAACAGAAACGAAAGATTTTGATTTTTTCAGAGATTTTAGTCAAAAGGATTTAATGAAGTATAGATCAATAAGACCATCTAAAACAGCAGTCGTTACCGAGATCCGCGCCTTAGAGTATTTTCAAGGTGTGATTAAATACAAACTAGACTTTAACGATAAATTATTTAGTGAGCTGCCCAATCGTCCGAACAAAATTAATTTCCAATTGACTAAATTTCCCCATTTGTACACTCAAAGAAACAAAATTACTAAAACGAAGTATGACCATCTTCAAACGATAAAAAAATGCATACCCCAAGATTGTTGGGCATTTTATGATAATCTTCCTTTCCATGCAAAATGAAAGCCGGAAAAGACTGCACATTTTTGTTTTTGTTTTGTTTATTTTGTAAAAATAAAGTTGTTTAGTAATATTTTTTTAATAAAATAATATTACTCTCTTCATAGTAAAAGTGGCTACCTCAAGTCTGTTAGTTATTTATTGTCACTTTTAATACGCTCCAAAGTGTTGAATTATTTTGTATCCAAATTATTATTTGTGTTTTTTTATCTTATAGTCTATTTTGTAGCAATAGAATTGTTAAAAACAGTTTTTTTCTAAATATTTTTAATAAATTGTTAGGTATTATTCCTTTAAACGTTGTTTTAATTATTAGTGCATTTCCTCGTAAACGGTTACTTTCAACCTCGTATCCGACAAAAATAACTATGTGAATAAAAATCAATCCAAATTTTATATCAAACAAACATGCTACTTGAAAATCAGACCCAAATAAAACTCCTTATTACATAATTCTTAAAAAATATTGAGTTTATTTGCTCTCCTGTAAAATTCATCCTCCACAAGTTACGAGGTCCTGCCTTTCAGCCCTCGATATGAATTATTCATTAACGTAAAAAGTAATAATACCTTGATACTTGATATATACGAGCATAAACTTGTTTGTAGAAAAAAATAATGTATGATATGTGTGATTTTATTTTGTTCGAAGGGATGGGACACTCCGCCTTCGGCGTCGTTTCCCAAGCTTCCCTATACACTTAAAATACCACTTTTAGCACTTATATCATAAATAACTATTATTTAACTGATTAATGTTATTTAAAAACTAAAAAACTTATATCAAATTTCAGGTTTGCGATTTTGACTTATACTTTTGACTTATTACTTATAAATCTGAACACATTTTAAAAAAGTTTTTGATAATAGGTATTTGTGTAGATTGACTACAAGTTGTATAACATAAATTTTACGACCGGTCTATCTAGTGGTCTGCAACATCGCCATGCATTCTGGTGCAAATGTGGGTCTGTTAATCTGTGACGTGACGCCCAACAGCCAAGAAAAACAGAAGCGTGGTTAATAATTTAGTAATTAAAAAAAAATTGCCTTTTAGATATAGTAGTAGATGTTAAAAAGTTTTGTGTTTAAATGGGGTTTGCCTTTAACAGTCAAAAAAAGTAAGTAGTAAAGTGTAACTTTCCGTAAGAATTCTTTATGTCATCGATCATGATCTGTCATCATGTTACCCTGATGTTTTGTATTTAACCTGATTTTGTTTTTTGCTCGTTTGTTTTACGGATAGGTGTAATCGCATAATTATTATTGATGTTTTACTTAATGTTAACATTACTACTTTTTCAGTGAATGTTCAAATCTGTTGTTTTTTGTTAAAGTTCGTTATTTAAACATATGTAATAATGTAATAGTGTATTGTACATATGCAATTAACACTAATCACATTTTTATGTTCATCATCATTTTCAATGCCCCCCGGTTGCATCTTTGTAAAGGACTGAATTTTTTCTGGGGATTTCTGGTGGGGAAAAAATATTTACTTGAGGATTCTTGGCCTGCTAGGTCCTAGTAACATTATAAAAAAATATTGTCTGGATTACTGTGGCGACATCTATTATCTTTGTATAAAATTATTCAATTCACTAAGCGGTTTAGCACAATACAAGAAACCTATTTACTTGATCAGCCGTTTGCACATTTTTATGTTGGATGTAGGGTTCCCAACCGTCCCGGTTTAGCCGGGATTAACCAGGAATCAGAAAGTTTGTCCCAGCGAAAGTTTTACCTTGGGCGGGACCTTAAAAATCCCGGAAATTTTTAACTTTTTAATCTTTAACAGTATTTTTACGATATTCAGAAATTTAGGGCAACCGGCAACGCTGCGAACTTTGACGACCGACTGCTCGACTGCCGCGTCGCGTCGCGCATACGCCGTAGTGTTGATTTCTCGAGGTGCGAGGTTGTGTGTGCGAGGTTAAATATTAAATAGTGATAAAATATCGTTAGTGCGCTGCGATTTGCGAAGATTGAGTCTGGCTTATTTTTCTTTTCGGCAATCTCGGCAGTAGGTAAAGAAAAGTTATTTGTAACATTGAGCATTTTGTTTTAATATATACTTAATTTCTGTTTATTAGATTTTATTGATAAAACGTAAAATGGAAGAAAATGAAGCTCCCCATTCCTCTCAACCTCAAAAAAAGAAAATTAAGCGCTATTGTACGTTCATTCCAGAATGGGAAGATATGTTCGAACATATCAAAAAGGTAGACGCTGAACATGGGATGTGCAAACTATGTAGTGCCCATTTTACAGTAAAGTTTGAGGGAAAAAGAGCAGTTGAAAATCATTGTAATAGTCAAAAACATAAGAATAATATTCGTGATTTAAAATCAAGTAAGTCATTGCGTACATTTTTTGTAAAAAAGTTTACTAAAGAAGAGGAAGAAGTTACCCTTATTGAAATAGTGAACACATACCATTCAGTTAGGCATCAAATAAGTTACAATGCTCAGGATTGTCATAACAAGTTCTACCCAAGTTAATCACTGATTCTAAAATTTTGCTCAAGATTTCTTGTGGAAGAACAAAAGCTGCGAGTATCGTGGAAGGTGTTTTAGCTCCAAAATCTCAAGAATGCTTACTAGATAATTTAAAAAAGTCGATTTACTATTCCGTGGCGTCCGATGCGTCAAATAGGAGAAATATAAAACTATTTCCGCTATGTGTACAATTTTTTTCTAGAAGTGGAGGAATTGTTCGGGGAGTTTTAGATTTCTATGAGGACTCAGATGAAACTAGCGAAGCTATTGCCAACCAAATTATTGAAAAATTACAAAATAATAATCTAAATCTTGAACATGTTACTAGCTATAGTGGAGATAATGCATCTGTCAATTTCGGTGTTCGCTGTTCAGTATTTCAAAAATTGAAGGCAATTAACAGTAAGCTAATTGCCAGTAATTGTAAATGTCACATTTTACATAACACAATAAAGTTTGCCAGCAAAGGATTAAATTTTGATATTGAAAGTTTTGTTATAAAATTATATAACGAATTTTCAAGTTCTGCCAAACGTGTACAAGCTCTAAAAAGTTTTTTTGAATTTGTAGAATTAGAATATAAGGATTTGTTAAGACATGTTGCAACTAGATGGCTATCTTTATTGCCAGCAATAGATAGGCTATTGTTAAACTGGCCAGCACTTAAATCATATTTCTTATCTGAAGGAGAAGAAAACTGTTCCAAAATAATTTGGGAAGTATTTAATGAAGATGACGAGGAATCGTTAGTTCTTGCACTACTTTATTTTGTTCAAAATATATTGGTAATATTTCAAAACATCATACTGAAATTAGAACATAATGAAACCACTGTAATAGAATTACATTCACTAATGAATAATTTAAAAGTTAATTTGGGGCAAAGACTATCCGACAAATTTTATGGTAATTCTGCCAACCGAATGATTAGAAAAATGACAGATAGTAAAAGGTTGCAATTTGAAAGACAGGCAGTATGCTTTTTGAACAGGTGTTTAAATTATTTGACAAATGGTATGATTTTAATAATGATTTTCTTGCAAGTTTGGCGTGTTTAGATTTGAAAAATAATAAGCTAGATTGGCAGAAAATACAATTGCTTCTTGATCTAATGGAAATAGATATAGATCAAGACGAGTTATATAATGACTATATATTAGTTAATAATATTATTGAAAATCTCGAATCTTTTTCTGAAAAAAATGTAATGGAAAAGTGGGTTCAGATTTTTAGTGCTGATGTTGCCAGTGATAACTTAAATGAAATGTTTAAATTAGTTTCCTACATAATGTCGATTCCTGTCGGCAATGCTTTTTGCGAACGTGTTTTCAGCATTATCGAAGCATTGTGGACCAAGGAAAGAAATCGATTGAGTATATCTCAGGTAAAATCAGAAATACAAGTAAGACTAAATTTTAATTTAAAGTGTGAGGACTTTTTGGCTCTAGTTAAATCAGATCAAAAACTGCTTCATGCTGCACGATCTCAACAAAAATATAGATTTAAGTAGCAATGAAAAGTAAAAAGCGTTTATTTTGTGGTTTAATTGTTATTTTTGCCAATAATATTTATTAGTTTTTTTAAGTAGGTACTTACTTACCATTCACCTACACTTCCTAATTACCAAAGTTATCTATATGTTATGTTTTATGTTTATAACTCTATGTTATATTTTTTCCTACTTATCTATGTTATGTTTCATGTTTAAAAATAAAAAATTCTAATATTTACTGTTTTGTTTGAATTATTTAAAAGCTTAAAGCTAATTGTCCCGGAATCGCCGATGCTCAAGTTGGGAACCCTAGTTGGATGCCATTGTTTTCGGGATTCCCCGGTATTGGTAGTTTGAAGTGTTTGAACTTTTTAGTTGTGGTTGGAGTTTTTTAATGCTTTAGTCAAATATGTCGAATAAATATAGAAGTGTTTGAGAGCAAATAAATGGGTTAAAAGGAATTTATTTTTGAATTTATAAATAGGCGCTTATAAATAAATTTTCATTAGGATGGATTGCCCCCGATTTACAAGACGAAAAAAAAGCTTTTTGTAAGGTATGCAGATGTTCACTAATTGCCCACAAAAAGGATCTGCTGCTGCATAGTAAATCCAAAAAACACATCCAGGCAATGAAGAACTCCAGAGCCCGTATTCTTCTAAGCGCTTTTAGACGCTCAGCGTATATGACGTTAATTTTCGCTGAGCGCGCGCTTAATTAATGACTTACGTATTTACTGATTGCGCTGAGCGCTTTGAAAACGGTTGCCATAAAGGATCGTTTTGCTTGTCGAACTGTCAGTGAAAATCGAAAAAATTGTGATTTTGTGTGTTAACTCTTTGGTGAAAATTACTATTTCTTCTATAAATTCCGCAATAAGGAATTGATAATTTACGACTTGGCAGCTATAAATGTTCAAAACATCGAAAATGCTGAGAAGCGTCTTCAACATTTCCCTCGTATAATAAGAATAATGACATACATAGAAAAATAGCTTGACATAACTCAATGATAGGTTATGAAATTCACGTAACATTGACATTTTTCATTGTTATATCCGTCAGTTATCAACTTTTAACTATTAGCTACATTAGAAAGTGTGATGTTGCCAATATGTGCTCAACGCGTATCCAGAACACGATTCGCATGGCAACGAGACAAGCAAATCGACTGCCTTGCGTTTCACTGATCGAATATTGCGCTCACCGCTTTAAAAGTGTAACGTTTTCATGTCAAAGTTACAGAATACGGACCCAGGGCTGGTCCTAGTAAGAAAATCACCGAATTTATGCCACTACATATTTCCAAGCAAATAAAAATAGCCGAGTTAAAAATAGCTGTCTTTACAGCGGAGCATTGCTCTGAACTGCTTAAGAGAGTACACAGATCGAAATGTACAGCACTGCTTTTAAATGTGATTGCCCCATGCTTGGGTGGAAGGGTAGCAAAAACTAATTAAAAAAAACACTATCCAATATTTACAGGAAAAAATGCTGCTAAACTAGCAATAAGACAAAAGGCTTTGGAACTGGAAAGTAACAGACAAAAACTGGAATCGAAGAAGCTTGCTTTTCAAAAAGAAAAGTTCCTCCAAGAGAAAGAAGAAAGAAAAGCCTTAATGCAATTGTTGGAAAAGCAGCAGATATTATTAAATCCCCTCATAAAAAAACATATAAAAATAATAATTAATTATAATAAAAATATTTATAATAAAGTAAATTTGTTTGCTCCACCTACATATAAGTATTTTGTTCATGTTTAATAACAGCTAAACTTTTTAAATTATAATATTATTCTATGTCCCGTCTCCCTTTTCAAACTTAAAATGAAATGAAAAACTCAGTTCCAGGCCTCTCTGAAAAGTTAGAAATCATCACAATCCATTTGGTTTTATCCAGAGAATAAGTTCCTATTTGTTTGGGTGTGATTTTAGTTTCTATGATCTTAGAAGAACTGATTTTATGATGTTTTTTTTGTTTTACTGTTTTGTTTTTTATAGTTAATATCCAGTTAGATTTGTCCAACTACATAAGTGTTCCTTTTTTGTTTCAAGTTTTGTAAATTTTGTATACCTACCTACATAGTTTTAGGCATAGTATGTTTTATATAGGTAGGTATAATCTTAAGGACTGAAACTTTGTTGTTATCTTTTGTATTTATAGCTAATCATTCTGATGTTGTCCATGTTAATAAAAATAAAGCTATTTGAAATAATACAGTTTTATTTACATCGTAAATACATTTAAGAAGTCAAATTTTAAAATATTTAAACTTCCATAAAGTTTTTTAATATCTTTTATCTTTGTATTTTTCTATACGTATATGATTGGGGCATTGTGGCATTTTGCATTCAGTATTTATATATTACACCCTTTACTGTTGCTTTTGCTTTTAGAGTGGTAAGTAGATAAATTATTATGTAACCTGACGTAACCGGCCTGAACGAGAGGGAATCCGGTGATGATAGGCCAGTCATCATATATTATATATAAAAAAGACATGTAACGAACTAAAAACGTTACAATATATTAAAAGGAGCGTAAATGCAAGTAACGAGTTGCGGAAAAGACAAAAAGAGATGGGGTTGAAAGAAGGTGAAACAAAAAAAATGATACTTGATGTTCGCACAAGATGGAATTCTTGCTATTATATGCTAGAACGATTCAGGCAGTTAGTATCTATTGTAGGAACAATACTTTTGGCTTGACCAGAAACACCCCCGATGACCTCAAGCGATGAACTGGAATGTGTCAAAGAAATAATAGAATTACTATGCCCCTTTGAGAAATTAACAAAAGAATTTTCTGGAGATAGTTACGTAACAGTGAGCAAAGTTATTCCACTAATTAGTTGCGTCCGGGAAGTAGTAGAAAATATTAAACCTAAGAATGAAATGAATTTACAATTCAAAGTGGAAATAATAAAGCAATTAGCACGAAGGTTTGATAATATAGAATAATCTGGCCATTCTTGCCATTTCAACCACTCTTAATCCAAGATTCAAGCTTATGCATTTCAAAAATGCTATAGCCAAAGGCAAAGTAATTAATTATTTAACAAATGTGTACGGGAATATAACAACTCACCTACGACCAAGAATGATACATCTGATGAGTCTGATAAAGATGATTCGGAATTCGACATTTGGAAATATCATAAACAGTTGACACACAAGAATATGAAAAACAAATCATCTGCTACAGCTACAACAGAAACCATTAGCGAAACAGAAGTCCAGATGTACCTAACGTCTCCTGTTACACCAATAAAAAGAGACGCTATAGAAATTTGGGATTTGGGAAGATATGAAATCGCTTTTTCCAAAACTTGCAAAGATTGCAATGATATACCTCCCTATCGTAGCTACGTCTGTGCCAAGCGAATGCTTGTTCTCGGAAGCTGGGGCTACTATAACTCAAGACAGAAATAGACTTCTGGGAACTAGATTATCAAAACTTCTTTTTCTTAACTCCATTTCAAAATTATTAAATTCAAAAAAATAAATTGTGTTTCTCAAAATAAATATTTTTATATGTGTTTTCTATTACTATCCAATTTATTTAGTTTAGTAAAAAAAGTTCTGTTAAATATGTATAGGTAAATATAGCTAAATACTTTCTTTTGTAGTTTCTATGTTTTTGAAATGTCCCTTCATCTTCATAGTCCCTTCCCTGACCACGTTTTAAGTCGTGCCTAAATAAGAAAAAATATAACATCGCATAAACATCGATGTATCGATTTTTATACCGATGTTTTTTTAACATCGATACTTGTCACCGAAACATCGATGTTTTTATGAACGATGTTGCATCCCCAGTCGTACTTGTGCATTTGACACAGAAAATGCGTGATTATTATATATTTTGTTTCTATTTTTCGGGTGACGAGGCCAAAAGTGCTTGGATAAAATTAAGAAATAATCATAGAGATGCTCTACGACGACAGAAACGTCTGAGAAGAAGTAGAGTTGGTGCTACAGACATCAAACCATGGAAGTTCCAAGCTCAAATGGAATTCTTGTTGCGGTATATGGTGAATGAAAGCCGTGATACCAATTTTATGGATGATGTCGAAGATCGTTCTGAAACACCTAGTGAAGAAGAGCAACATATAGAATTTGAAAGCCTACATTCTGATGACCCTGCTAACAACGTGGAGAATGATGAAGCATCGGTTTTACCACAAAATTTCAACGTTGATACGGATGAGGATGATACAGGTAATTCGCCTGCAAATTATGAGCCTGCTATACCGCCACCGTCCCAATCAAAGAAGAAGGTGAAAAAAGTCGATATTGACAGCTTATTAAAGAAAACCATTGAGCAACGCGAAGAACGGGCAAAACAAAGAAAGCAAGGAAGAAAAAGATTGAAAGAAAGAATAGCTCCTAAGGACGATTTGTACCTGTTTTTTATGTCAATGTATGAGCAGACCAATAAAATGCCCCTACAATCACAGCACGTAGTCCGAAGAAACGTATTTCACACCGTCTCGCGCGAGCAGGCACGCCTTTTGAATATTTTTGAACCACCACTTCTCACGAATAATGAAAGTCAACTTCGACCAAGCGAGAATAGGCAAGGCCCGAATGCAAACAATTGGTTACAAATAAATTATTCAAGAAATAGGCTACCTTCCCCCTGCTATAATGGAAGGATGGCTTCACGGGAAACTAATCCACATTCCAGTTCTGCTTCAGCAAGTTCTTCAGGGCAACCTTCTCCCTGATATGAAGAAATGATGGCTCGACGACGTGAAACTAATGTATACAGACCGGACCACCGTAGTAGTAACATAGGCAGAACCGGACGAATTAGCGTATACCCGTCCGCCGGATAAAAAACAGGCGAAAAAATGCGATAAAATAAAAATAGGTAGATATGTGATAAGAATGTTACAGAATTTGTATTTATTCGTGTTTTAATAGCCAAAACGAATACATAGATTCTCGCTACAGCTCTCGTGTCAAATTTATTTTTTAAGTAAAATAATGGATGTTTAAGAAGTTCGTGAGAAAATTCAAATTGGAAATCGTAAAATGGTATTTCCAAAATAGGTCTTATCGGGACATACAAACAATTTTTCCAAACAATTTTTGTAAATAGGCCAATTCCATCTTTACCTACTATATCAAGAGTTATTAATAATTTTGAAACACATGGGTGCGTGTCCCCACAAAAACACAAAAAGCCTGATGTGTTGATTAATGAAGAACAGGAGTTAAAGCAAGTGTTTGGGATGGTTTTGTAGGGGAGCATATGATTGGTCCATTTTTTATAGAGGGTAATTTAACTGTTGCAAAGTATTTGGACTTCTTACAGCAGCAGATTGTCCCTAGAATTCGTGAGTTATTGGGAGAAAAATTCCACAATGTCTGGTTTCAACAAGATGGTTGCCCTGCACACAATGCCCGTATTGTTCAAGAATATTTGAACAATACTTTTCCCAACCGTTTAATTAGTGGATATGAAACTATTTTATGGCCCGCTAGATCACCAGATCTTTCTCCTAATGATTTCTTTTTGTGGGGTTATGTAAAATCCAAAGTGTATGGTCATAATAGGGCTAATAATCTTGATGAGCTTCAAGTAAAAATACGAGAGGCTTTCCAAACTATTAGCCCTAATATGTTAGCCAATGTCATACGGGGATTTTACGACCGCAGGCTTCTGTCTAGCACAAGAAGGTGGTCTTTTTAAACACTTGTTATAACTTTTTTTTATTTAGAGTAAAATTTTAGTTTTTTTCTGGATTAGACAATTTATTTATTTTTAATTTTGGCTTGTAAACACACTCAAATAATAACTATTTAAGTATTTTTATTTTAAATGTTACCTTAAGTAACTTAAAATGAAAATAATAAATACTCGGCACTCCTCGCGTCGTATCCCTAGTGTCACGACCGACCCGTCCAAACACAACTGCAACTGCGTACTGCCTGACCAGCCGACTAGCCGGCACTGAATCTCTAGTACGAACGCAAATCGGGTAAACGTAAATTCGTCCGGCAACTTGCTATGTTACTAGTAGCCTGGTCTTTGCAATGAGAAACGATAGCTCTACGCCGTGAACCTTCTGAGCTTGTCTCTCATATTAACAACTTTACGGAGTAAATACCATGTGGCTATTTTAGTGTGTAACATATGGGATTCTTATTAATATTTTATAAATATTTATATTGCCGAAAGTAGGTGCATATTCGATAATCATACTAGGTGCACTTACAATGCTTGCAAGTCAAGTAGTATATGTATACTACTTGATATAGAGGATAGGGCAAAATATATAAAAATTACATAATTGAAGAATCCTCATTTCAAAAAATTCATCAAAATGTTATTGACTTGCAATATTATTCTAAGTGCACCTAATTTGATTATCGAACATGCCCCAACTTTCGGTAATATTGGTATTTTGTTAGTGCAATTAATAAAAAAAAATCCCCATACCTATGTTGCACACTAAAAAGACCACACCACACGTATATCTATCTATGTTTTTATGTGCTATTTACTAGTATTAACTTTGTTACGTATTACGAATTTTATCAAAAAGGTCAAAACTTACCTCAAAAATACTGCCAGTTTTTCTTTGCTATCAATTGGTGTTTGAGCATTGCATCCTTCGGAGTAAATAATAGGTTTTATCATGTTATAAACTTCTTCAAACTCTTTTCGATTAAGGCGGAAGTAGTTTAAAAATCGTTCATTTGACAATTTTCTTGTCAATACAAATTCCCCGTGAGTTCGTCTTTTTTTCATATATTCGCTATTCCCTAATTTCACTTTTCTTGACTTCTGATAAAGTAATAATAGTGTTTGTAACTCGGTATCCGAATCTGACTCGGAGCTTAAATCCAGATAATATTCTTTCAGCATGTTTTTATTTAATTACTCCCCAAAAAAAATTTCCCCACATTCTACACATTGACGGGCTCGTGACAGTCTGTAATTAAATATTTTATTTTGCTCATTACCAGTAACACTTCGCCTCGGATACGGTCGCATCAAATTTTCTGTTAGCGGAAAGGCTTCATCGCCCACAAAAACGTATGGAAAAGGCACTTCGTCTGTAGTAAATGAGTAGATTGTGGAAGACCCAAGGTTTGTCTCATCATTTTTTGCCTGGGAGAAAATATTTCCATCGCTAAATCTCCCCATTAACCCCACATCAAGTACGGTAAATTTATAATTTGCATCAACAGCAGCCATTAAAACAATGGAAAACTGTTGTTTATAATAACTGTAGTAAGAGGTCCCAGTTTTTGGTGGTTGTTTAATGTGGTTGCTATATGTTTCCCATCGATAGCTCCTACGCAATGAGGGAAATGCCATTTTTTTCAAAATCCAATGAAATAGCTTGCCACACTTCAGTAGTCGGTTTGGGCAAATACAGTGGTTGCATATTGGTCCATATTGCATCAGATACTTCATTTACTATTTTAGCAACTGTTCTGTAAGTACCTGCAAAGAGGTTAAAATTATGAAACTGATTTTTAAATATACCATATTATATTATAACCTTAAAAATAAATTTAATGTAAAACTATTAAAAAATAAATTTTGTTAGAGGTAATGAGGTAAAAAACATTTGGGCAAAGCTACGTAACTGCCATCGAGATGCATTACGAAGACAAAAAAAGTCTAAAAAGCGGAGCTGCTGCCGTTACCTTAAAACAATGGAAATTCCAAAAGCAGATACAGTTTTTAGTCCAGTATATGGTAACACACCACGCGAAGGGAATTTGGAGCAAGATAGCGAGGATGATGACCCACCACAGGAGTCCGTAGAAACTGAAGATCTTGAGAGCGAAGAAATAACAAGCGACATTCCAAATGATAACGAGCAAATTAAAAATGTGGAAAATGACGTGGTGGAGCTTGTCATCTCTGGTACTAGTGGGCAGCAAAATCACGAAAAACAAAACAAAAGTGTCAAACGTAAGGTATCTGCTGAAAATTTGTCAAAAGACAAAACCCCATCTGTTTCTAAAATTAAAAAAAGCGAAGATATACAGGGTTTAATAAAAGATTCGGCAAAAAAGAGCCGAAGAGAGAACAGTTGAAAGAAACAAAATGGTGGAATTGCAGAAGCCTTTAGATGATCATCTTTACCATTTTTTTATGTCCATGTACCATAAACAAAAACATGCCCCGTTATTACCAACATATGGCCGAAAAAATGTGTTCGCGGCTGTGTCGCAAGTGGGGGCTAAATACCTAACAATTCCGAATTCGAATCAACAAAACCCTCAGCAAGGAGCTTATCCAAATACACATGGTTACTCGCATATTCCACAAATCCATTCATCTCACTTATTTGTACCTCACTTATTTGTACCATTAACACCTTCAAGTTCTCTGAGTAACCAACATCACAATTGTAATCCTCCCAAACCAAACTCCTATTACCGACGACTCCTGTTTATCCATTACCACAACACCTCTTTTGTCACCCACGAATACCGATTATGTTAATTTACAATTAGCTAGCAGGAATAATCAGCCAGCTACAACCGGTAGCTCTTACTTGCCTGTTAGAGCAACACCTGTTCAAGCCGTTACTTCCAATGATATTGGACATTTTTTTAGTAACTTTTCACCGTACATACAACATACATATTTAAATAACCTTTGTTAACTTTCGCATTAAAATGTAAAATGAATTAAAATATTACTTACCTTAAACAAATCGCTAGTTTTTCTTTACTTAATGTTGGTTTTTGGGCGTTACAACCATCTGAATGAATACTGTTTTCTATAATATGATGCACTTCATCAAATTTCTCTCTGCTTAACAGAAAATAGTTTGAAAAAATAGGGTTAGAAAATTCGGACACTAGCGCAAATTCCCCATGAGTACTTCTCTTTTTCATATAATTGCTCTTCCAAAATGATTTTTTTCTCTTTGATGGGCTGTATAACAAAACTATTTCTTCAAATTCTGCATCAGAATCTGATTCGGAACTGCCCAGGAACAAATCCATGATAAAAACAATTATTTAAATAAGTTTAAACTCTACCATCACATCAACTATAGCACAGACTGCGTCTCAAATGTGCACTCACACTGCGTGACACGTATTAAACCGGTGCTATTTTCAGTTAGTTGTCTTTTTCTGTTCAGATATAATTGCGACGACCATCGCATCGTTTTGGTTTTTTCTCCTTTTTCTTTTTTAATAAACTACTTAAAATTATAAAATACGCAGCACGTTCAGCGTCATCAGAATCTGAATCAGCCATATTTATGCACTACCTACTACTACTACACAAGAAAATGCTCACCACATTTATGGATCGATTCCGTACAAGGCAACGCCTCGTGCGTCCACTATTCAGGTCACCCAAAAATATATTTCTTCCCGAGGCCGAACCGAATCCGAGGCAAATGGTTCGGCCTCGGATTGCCTCATTCGCGTTCGTGCTCATATGCGTACCCGTCTTTATGCATAACATCACCAAGCGCCATTTGACGAATTTTGAGATTTTATCGCCATCTAGTGTCAAAAGGTGTAATCTATCTATAAAAAAATAATTGGCTTATAGAAACCTTTATTTAAAAAAATAAGTTTGAAAATGCTAAACGCCAAATTCTCTATTGGCTTATTTTCATTACGCATTACCAGACCAAGTTTATGTTGTAAAAAATCACACAAAGATGTCAATACGAGAGTTAAGCAAAACATGACTAACCGCCAATTTTAGCTGTTATTCTGTCGCTTGGTC